TAATAGGTTGTTTGGCTAGTTGTTATTAATAATACTGTTTGGACTGAGGCATCTAATAATTTGAATGTTGCTCCCAATTTAAGATTATTAGTAGGATTTACTTTTGCTAATAAATCTTGTAGTGTTCTTTGAATATCTTTTCGTATACTATGTGGTGGTCTTTGTTTTAGTATTTCTTTATTTTTATTCTGATATCTTGGTTCAAATTTATCAGTTGGATATGGTACTCTATGTTTGAATAGTATTCAGTATTCAAATTATAAAGGGTGAAATTCTTGATTATATTCATCTAATAGTAAATCTATTGGGTTGTCTATTTCTAATAATGTATAGTCGTCTACGTCTTGTCGTGTTAATATTGATATTAAGTTTCTAATGTTGTATTGATTAGTAACCAAATATCTGTTTGTTTAATTAATTTTCAATATGTAATATAACTAGTGATTGGTCTGTTGACCAATAATCTATGTTAGTTCTTTGTTGCTCTATAAGATTAGGATTATTTGCAGGTAGTCTGTTAAATATAGCTCCTATTCTTTGTCATATTACTTAAGGTATATCTTCTTTGTGAGATCGTGTTATTAGAGTTAATATATTATTACTAATTTGTGCTTTGTAAAATTCTTTATCGTTTTGTCAGTTATATATTTGTCTAGTTATTAATGCTGATTTTAATAATACACAAACTGATTTGATTTCTGAATTCTAGTTCTAAGGTTCATATGTTAATGGTACAGTTAATACTAATGTGTTTAATTTTTCTTCGAGGTTAATATAATCTTGATATGTTGTGCAGGTATATAGTTTTGGTAAAATTGTTTGTTTTATCAATTTTTTGCTTGCTTCACAAGTTATTTCTTTTAAAAATACTTGAGTTTCTTGTATTAATTCTATTAAGATTGTCAGATTTGCAGAGATGTTGTCTGCTGATAATCCTTCTATATTTAAAATAGTTTCTACTTTTCGTGTTTGTCTGTTAAATTTGTATTCTATTATTCCAGGAAATTGGTTTTCTATTTTATCATGTATTTTCTTAGCAATTACAGTTATATATTTTTGTTTCTAGCTTTATATAAGAATATTATCTATTTCTTGTATAATTTTGTTACAGTAGCTTTTGCTTTGATATTCAATAGTATTGCGGTCAGTATAATTTCTGAGTAATGCGGTTATTGTTGTTAATTCAAATTGTTTGGTTTTTATATATTTTGTCAGTTAATTCAGTTAACTGGTTTCTTTTCAATATTGTGAGGTTTCTTGTAATATTTCTTTTACTTCTTCAAAATAAGTAAATATTTGGTATTCTTTTTCCAATTGCGGGTCAGTTTGTTGTATATTGTATAGTTTGTTAATATATTTTCCTATTGTTGAATTTTCTTGGGCAAAATAGTTGTATAACAGGTTTTCTAAATTAAAGCTATTATAGTCTTTCATGTTTAGTTTCCAGTAAATATGATATAATTCTTGTTTGTTTAGTTCAATAACGTTTTCTTCAAATAGGGTTTTCTCTTTAGGTGATTTAGATAGTAATAATTTGAGAGTTGTTATTATATTTTTGTATT